TGGAGGTGCCTCCTGCGGAGTCTCAGGCTGCATGCTCAGCATCTGCCAGCAAGCAACTGAGGCGGCTGGAGCTCGGGGCCGGGCCATCCATCAACACCTCTGGCCACATGGATCCACCAAGCTGCACTCTGTGATGAAACTACAGGAGCAGTAAATGGAATAAGACAGATAAGGAGCTGGTCTGCAGCTTCTATACCAGTTTAGGAGAAAAAGAAGAGGAAATAAATTTCCAGTGGTAGCTTGTTTTGAAAAACAGTCTGAAGATTAAAGAATATTGTTACTGTAGAGGCTGGGATGAAGCTCTGAAGAGTCCAGAGATCATGACTGTCCTGGGTTTGAGTGAGTGGTGCGTTTTTTTGGTAGCGGGGGGGGGCTATAGGGGTGGCCCTCTGTGAGAAACTTCTCGAAGCTCCCCCAGCTCCAAGTCAGCTCCACCTCTGCACCAAAATTGAGCCAATCAGCTGCACCTCTGTGATAACGTATTTAAGAAGGGACGTGGTGAGGAGGACTCGGACTTGGGAGGAGGAGTTGTGACAGCTGCATGAACACCAAGGCCAGTGAAGGAACAGAGGAAAGAAAGGAGGGGGGAGGTGTGCCGGAGCAGAGACCCCCCTGTATCCTGTGGTGAGACAGCAGGGTGGCCCCCCCCCGCCACTCATGAATATCTACAGTCGAGCAGACACTGATTTATGTCCTGTGTTTTTCTCCTGGTTGATCAAGGTGCTGTGCCTGAAGAAGGCCGGGGTCTTACGGGAAAAGGTAGCCCCGCTGCTGTAATTCAGCGCTGGGAGGATTGCAGCATGCAGGGGTGTCTCACACTGGAGCAGCTCGGGAAGGGCTGCAGCCGTGGGAGGGAATCCAGTTAGAGAAAGTTGGTGACTCAGGCTGGAGCAGTGTGGGGAATGCTGTGGCCCATGGGAGGGATTCAAGTCAGAGGAAGTTTGTGGAGGACTGTCTCCTGTGAGAGGGGGACCATGATGGAGCAGGGGGAAGAATTTCTAAAAGCTCCCCCCACTGAAGATGGAAGAAGTGGCAGCACTGACTGCACCCCCATCATTCCCTGCCCCTGTGCCACTGGGGGGAGGAGTTGGAGATATCGGGAGTAGAGCTGAGCCCAGGAAGAAGGGAGGGGTGGGGGGAAGGCATTCTCACGTTGTGGCAATGCTTCTCACTGTCCTACTCTGTTAAGTGTTGTTGGTGTCAGTAATAAATGTATGTTCTTTTTTTCTTCCCCTAATGAGTCTGCCTTTTGCCCATGACCATAATGGGTGATTTTCCTCTCCTGGTCCTATCTCTAATCCCAAGCCTGGCTCATCTGTCTCTTCTTATTGCCAGAAGAGAAGGGGAAGAGAGTGGCTGCATGGTGTTTGGCTGCCAACCAGGCTCAAACCACAACAATGACCCAGCACAACTCAACTCCCATCACATTTTGATTTTGATCTCAATTTGCTCGTATAGGCAAGCTCCAGAAATTCTGTGGGTTACTCTGATTATGGTCCTTGGACACTTCAAGTGAGTATTTATTCCAGGCAACAAAAATGTACCAGTTCAAGAGTAAGACTGACTTGCTGTTTGCCATGGTAACTGAGGAGAAGGAAAACTGAAGCAGAGTATTTTCCCATACAAAGCATACTACTCACTGTGAGAAAACAGCAATCTGTCGGGCTGCTTCATCCAGTCATAGGCTAGGCTCAATGGGCCAAATTTTGCACATAGTTGCCTCCCAAGAGGAGCAAAATGCATAGCTTGGAGCTCTTGTTAAAGAGCCCAGCCATTTCACGTGTTTTAGATGAAAGAGTAATGAATGGAGATTTAGGCAGCAGGAAAATGCAGAAATTTATCCAGCTATTTCAGAAAAGACCTTTCTATAATTGCCCAGAAGTTGTACTTCAAAATATTGCAAGTGCTAACTCCAAAGCCTCTGACACACTCCTCATTTCATTACTAAGTGGCTATTATGCGACCGGGAGCCCTTTCTGCCAACTCCAGGGGTCTCCAGCTACAGGAATTTGACATCTGTTTGATATTATTATTCCATTAGAAGAGTAAATCTTCACTCCCCTGGCTTTTTTGTGGGCTCTGACACATTCCACTTCAGTGACAAATGTCTCTTGAGCCAGCAGTGATTTGACAGGGTGGGAGGTACCCCTGAGGAGGAACTGACAAATGGTTTCCATGAGAAGTTGAAGTACCCTCGGGAAGAAGACAGAATTTCTGCATGAACATCAAGCTGAAAAGGAAACCCCCAAATTGCAAGGGATTTGTGGCAATCCAAAAGGTTCCTCCCCAAATAACTGAATTTGTATGTGATGTTCTAGCCTTGCATAAGAAACCACAGCACACCTCAGATCACAGCAGTTTGTGCTCACAGGTTTCCGCACACGTGGAAGCAGGCTACAATAAAGCAGCGTGTTCTTGACCTTCTGAACAATTCCTGCTTCCTTTCCTAACAGAAGCGAGAACTCCTAATGGGTTGCATCCAGTCATTCCAGTAGAAATTTGAGACCAAATGAATCTGCTTCATATAAGTTTGCCAAACCCATGCTCATAGCAAGATTATTCACCAGCCCAGAGCTCACAGAGGATCACACTCCAACAACGCTTTCAAGTATGCTGGTGGTCAGGATGATAATACAGGGTAATAGGTCCTTTCACTCAAGGATCTCCAAATACTTTACAGATGTGAATGTAAAAGTGCAAAGTGGAATTTCCCAGCCCCACTTTGCAGAGAACTTTTTTTGGGGCTTACTGTGTTCAAGGAATTCATCCTGGCTTAAGAGAAATAGAAAAGCTGGGACAGGGGCCCCAGAACTTGACTGATCACGGTAATTGGATGAAAGCTTTAAACATGACATCACCTTCTCACAAGATAAGAGTTCATTGTTTCATGTCTGAGTGTCTTCTCCCTTCAATGTGGAAGATTACCTCATGTAAACTAAACACAGGAAAATAACAGCCAATCCTTCCTCTCCAGCAGCAAGCACAGAAAAGGCAGATTGTATTTCTGGCCCTGCCACTGACATCACAGGAGTAGTGGGTGCAATGAGCTTTGCATTTAACACCAGAAGCATAAACCTCAGAGTCAAATTTATAATGGCGGAGACCATCATCTGGGTTCTCATTCTATTGTTCCCATTCTATCATCAAAACCAACACTGCAATACTGCTGTGGTCTGCTGGCCAGAAGGAAGTGGGATAGTTTCCTTGAAGGATTAATTAGTGACTACAATAAAAACAAACAAAAAACCCACAAATCAATCCTGACAACTTTTAAATCTTTTCTACTTGTAAAGCCTCTTGTGATTTCCTAGTTGTGTTTTACCAGTTTTCTAGCCTTCAAGAATTTCTTCCCCTAGATAACCCACAAGTGTCTAACATAACACTACACTGTAATCAGCTGACATTTCAGTTAAGCTTTCGTACCAAATATAAAGGACAAAGCAGAGCACAAACACAAAATTCACTTCTCTGCAGTCACCCTTAGGTATTTTTAATCCAACAGGCTAGGCAGTGTTCATATTCACAGATACAGGGGCTATAGCACTGGCTGATAGCAAGTGTCTTTACACAGTAAGTGGGCCATTGCAGCTGGGGGGGTTGAGGTACCGGCCAGCCACCGCACGGGACATGTCTACACCATGCTGCTGAAGAGCAAAGGAGAGACTCCTGTCCTAACAGCAGCGCTGCATGTACACCGGTGCAGCACAACACTGCACAGAGCCGCCACAGCAACAGATGCTGAAAATTCTTCATGACACTCTCATCCCTCTCAAAACTTGGCTCATCAGCTGCAACTGAGTGGTCCTCAGCATTTCAGCCCCTATTTCCTACATCCCTCCACCCACAGCCAGCTGGGCAGTCAGACTGTATGTAAAGATAAGATTCTCAGTGGATGGGTAGGTGTTGTCATTAGACACTGGACATGATGCCTCCTACCTCAAGGGAGACAGGATGAACCGAGAGCTGATGACACATGCACCACCCACTCCCTTCCATTTATGCAGGAACACACACATACATACAGCCAGCTGGAGACACAGAAAGAGGGAAGATCAAACATAGCTCCTTCAGCTGTGAAGAAAAGACCCTACAACATACAGACAGGCAGCAGTCTATTAATCAGGCACAGACTGCAGCTCTCTGCCGCTCCTTATCAACGTCATCTGCTGCTTTAGGAAAGGCAGAAAAAGCTGCTTAGGAGCTTGGGGCTTTCCAAATATTATTATGTTTTTCGTTAGCAGTTGTTCTCACTTTCCTTCTTATGGTAACCTCTCCAGACTGTCATGGAGATTTCAGTATATTTTATTTTTTTCAGAAAGAGGAATTCAATGCAGTGGAAGAGGCGCACACACAGCACTGAGGTTGTAGTTCTGCTCTTCCTATATCAAACTCTCTGGTACATCAAAGATTCTCTACCCCAGATAGTAAGTAAAAATGGAAATACACACTTGGTTTGTCCCACCATTAAAAAGATGATGCTTATAATCCTGGCCTTCTCACTCTGCAGACTTAAATGCCAGCAGGGAAGCTCCTATTTTTAACAAAGCGGTAGACAGGCAGTCTGCAGACTCACACAGACATCACCATGTGGCGTAACATGTCACCTCCATTTGTGATTTCCTTCACAATGGTGAAATCTAGAAACTTCCTTTACAAAATGTAAACAACCCAAAGATTATATTTTGCCTCTGCTGAATGAGGCTCATAAATGCATGATGGAGGCCAGATACAGCCCACAGGGCATACGATTGACACCTCTGGCCTATATGGACAGGAAATGGTTATAAATAGTCAGTCCCATTTCAGTACTCTGAAGACAAATATTTTTGACACAGAGTGCTCAAGCACAAAGAGTCATTTGTGGACCACCCAGGAGACTTGCATTTAAATGACTTTCCTTTGCTTGGATGATTAATTATATTAATGTTTATTTCACGAGTTGCAACATTTGTTCTTAAATGGAAGCAGCACAGAGGAGCCACGTATATAATCCCACTTACTTGTCGGTAACTGCCTGCATAAACTCATCAATCAGTTCGTCGTACTGTTTCCCACGAACCCTCTTGTGTTTCAGTCCAATATAGAGTGGATCATTCAGGAGAGCCTAGGACACAAAGCAATTCTGTTGACATCTTCTCTTCCATGGATGGATGGAGATTTATTTCCCAGGCTATCCAAAAAGTTTGTCTGTTCTGGTCGTATTAATTTTACTTACTATGCAGTGAAGGCCAGCTCACAGATCTTCCTGAGCAGAAAGTGCTTCAATAAGAAGCTACAGACTATCTTTTTGTGTAAATAAGGTCGGAGGAATTAAATGCTTCTTGATGGCCATAGGAAATGGATCTCTACATCCTCAGAACAGCTCTGCCAAGACTCCCTGACAAAGTGCCTCACTCCTAGTGAATAAAACTGACCTTCTGTGGGGAGTGCTTACTGTTCAAATAGTTCTTAATTTTGCACTGAGGTTACCAGGAAAGCTGATGACCATAAACAGTGCTTTGAGCAATGAAGATTGCCTGAAGCCACCTGAAATGACGTGTGTCATATTGGCCTTTAGATGCCAGCCCTGAGCTAACCAGAACCATGCCAAAATGTTCCCAAGTCCTGTATCTATCTAGCACTCACCTCCAGTTATCTGCAGGTGTCAAGGCAAGGTATTTTCATAAAACAGATTATTTTTTGTTTCCTGGAATAAAAAACCAGGCCACTCCTCCAACCAGTCCAGCAGGTGTTAAGTCAGGACTCCTAAGTCACCTAAAAAGGATTGGGTCAGCATGGAAACAGCACATATTTTGGGGAAAATCACAGGATAAACAGTGGCAGGAGACAGGTGGGCCAACACCTCCAGAAGTCACTGCAAAGCAACTCTACTTCCCTTCCAATTTCAGGAAGTGAATCATCCACATGAGAAGGGGATGTTCCATCACAAACCTATTGTCCTGCAACCATATGGGCCCTACATGTTGGCAGGTATGCTAAAATTAGATCTGTTTTTACAGCCACAGCTGTTTTCCCTTAGAAGGAAAGATGAAAGAGGTTTTCCTCTGAGTTTGATGCATTAACTCTTCAGAGTCATGGAACAGAAAGCAGACCCATTTGCATTACTCCACTAATTGCTCCTATAGCGCCATGTGCTCTGGGGCTGGTTCATGGGATATAACATTCTCCCATAGGCAAGCTGAGAAGCGCTAAGCTCTGAAAAAAGAGCCATTTGCTGAAGGAGTATACAAAGTATTACAGGCTGTCAGAAAGACAAGCTGGGAAGTGATGCTAAAAATATAATACAACTGCCTCAGGTATAATTTACTCCATTCTACCTTAGGTTCCTGTGTTAGCAACAGAGTCACCATATATTAATGGGCAGAGATGAACAGGATGAATGCCTATAAAAGGCGTCTTATTTCTGCACCGATAAATGAGTTTACTCATGGGGCAGGATGCTCCTAGGACGTGCTTAGGGTTTGGTTAAGCTGCGTTTGTGCACATGAGAAAGCCATTAAATAGATAAACAAATTCTTTATATTGTGAGGAAATATATTGTTCATGTTGCTGGAAAACAGCACCTTCTATATCTTAATCGCAGAGGTGGAAAATGCCTCCACAGAGAAGCTCCTGCACACATAAGTTGCACTTGATCCTGGGCAGAGCAAAGTGCCCAAGAATGACTCTGGGAGTCACTTTTTCTGTCACCATCTGACCCTTGGAGATGCATAAAAATCATTGGTGAGATTCTGGATTTTAGTGTCCCCTTGATGCTGAGACAGAAACAGGGTCATGCATGGTCAGAAGCTTCCCATGGGAAGGGAAGCACTTTCACCCAGGTCCCTCTGGAGGGAAACTCCAGCTGTGGTGCTCAGAGCATGCCAGCACTTGGCTGCGTGCAGACCAGCATGGAGGAGACGGAAGAGATGAAGGAGCCGAAGTCAAGTACAATGCTCTACTGACTGAAAGCTCCAAGAAGTAAGAGACTGAGACTTAATTCCTGTTTTAGCCTCACAGGATCCAAACTCAGAGTTCTCACTTTTCAGAAAAGACCATGGATCAGGTTGAGATGAGCACACCCCATATTCCACCGCCTCTGTGCTAAAGCGATAAAATAACCCAGGGACCAGAGACCAAAGAGGTAATTGGGAATCTCATCCCAGATGTCAACTATGGCCATTGATTTTGATTTTATTCATTCCCTTCAAGTGTCCAGTGTGAGACACTTGGGGCTGGAGTGAAAGAGGTGCAGAAAATCTAGCCTTCCAGTGAGCATAGGCATGTCTGAAAATGTTGGTACTCATTTGTCTTCATACACAAATGCAAAGCTCTTATACCCTAGATTTGTTATTTCTCTCAAGCAATATGTGTTTGGTTTGCTTGGGGTCAAGTGAGGCACAAATACATTTTACAAAAATGGAGAAACCCAGGCCATCACAAATAACTATAGGATATTCATTTTTAAAAAGACATCCTCACAGATGTCCATTCTGGCATTGCTAAAACATTGCACTTCAGCCTTTCTGATCCAGAGTCATAAGGCAAAAATCTGCAAACAGATGGAGTTCTCTTGTCTGGTTATCATGTGCAGTAAAGTGTGCAATCTGACAAAACACTGAAATTAATCATTCCCAAACCACCCACCAGGGATTTTTCATTTTCTGGAATACAGTTACCTCTAGGCAGACACAAGTATCTGCCTGTTTTCTCACTATTACCAGAGGAAGAATAAATCTGAGACTTCCTGTACAAAATCCTTCAACTCACCTTGACATGCTGAAAGTTGGAGCTGACTCTTCAGCTCCAACTGGCAACACCCTGAGTCTTCTCACCAGGGGACCATGAGGCTATTTAGTGTTTATTTCAGTTCCCCATAAGAGCAAAAGTTTCTTGAGCATCAAACAAAAACACAACCTGTCCAATTCCCTGCAGTGATGGTCTAGTTATTGTCTCATCTTGGGTATCTCTGGCTTTGCCTACACATTTAGGGAACTGGCCTCAGTTAAGCATTAATCTCAATCGTTTCTACCCCCGTAAGATTTATGAAAAACTGTCTTACCTCGTTGTCTGTGCCAACATCCAGCAGGACAGGGAGACACTGTTGTGGGTGAACTCCACCACAAGCTGTGTACAAAGCAAGCTTCCCGACTGGGATACCCATGCCATAACTTCCTAAGTCTCCTAAACCGAGAATCCTCTCTCCATCTGTCACCACAATAGCCTAGGAGGATCAAAAAAAAGACTGTTGTATGGTGTTGCCAAGGCTCTAGAAGCAAAACCAGCTCAGTGTTCACATCAATGCCATTATGCAGTTGCATTGTGCAATGGATATTTGCTCCTTCTACGTGACACCATGTTAATTAGCTGTTAATGATAGAGGGCTGTTAATTTTTGGGGATAGAGATAATGTGGTTGATGAGTAGCTGCTCGCAGTGTGGGAGAGCAGCAGCTCTGCTTGCCAACACTTCAATTCACTTGTAGCACAGCCCAACCAGCATGGCTTTTTGTGCATCCTCAGCTGTATAGCAAGAAGTATCACAAAAGAGATCAGGCCTTGATTTTTTTTCTCTCTTCTGGAAAAAGAGATCTGCACAAAAGTGTTTGTGCCTATGAACTGCATCTGTGGAATTAACAAGCTCATGTCGTCACAGTGTTGTAGAGTAGCTGTGGAGTAGCCAAAGTCAGATAACCAAAACAAAACTCATTATAACCGTGTCTCTTTGCCTCTGTCCTCCTGACTGCAAGGCAGGTAGACAGAAGCCATCAGCATGGGCAGCAGCATGGACTGCTGAAGAGCTCCCACTCTATGTATTTATTAGCCCTTTTTTTCCCACCCAGTTGGAAGTTAAACAATTGCCATTTAACTCTTGGTGCAATTGGCCTTTTGCATTTCAGCTATACTGTAATGTTCTACTTCACCGAAATCTCTAATCTGTAATTTTAGGTTTTTCTTGTTATTGTATCATTTATTTGTGACAAGAAGGAAAATAAAAACCTGCTTAATGTTGTCCAAATTAGAAGCCTGAAGTTGAGCTGTCAACCCACACTGTAAATTATTGAGACCTTAGGAGGCCAGATCTGACTAAACTTCACAATTTTTAGGTTAACTACTCTTTCAGTTTTGCCCCCAGGGTCAGGCATGCTTTTGGACAGTTCTGAAATGCAGTAAGAACAGGAATATACTGGAGTCCAGTCCCACTGTGGGAAAAATATCTGTAAATACAATAATAAACTTCAACTTTCATCACTGTCCCAGCACCTCAGAGAACAGAGCACTCACATCAAATGATTTATCAGACTACCAAGTGCACAGTCTAGCTTGGATTTCAAAGAAGACTGCACAGAAGTTCTTTATTTGCTGATCTGTAAAGTTAAGGCGCAACTTAGGACATAGGACATACACATGCATGTGCTTTAGTGAGAAATAAGAGAATGGGAGATTAGAAGCTATCTCAATAGATGTAATTCCTGGGAGAGGGGGGGATAAAGGGATAAAAAAGATGCATTGGTTTATTGCTGTGATGGAGAAACATTTAGTTGTTTTGGAATAGAATAAACCTCTTGCTGTACTTTCCTATTTCAGGGAGAATTGTGATCATCTGTTTTGGCGTCCTTTCTTATTCAACATAAACTATACACATGCCCCAAGGCTACTTTTTCCCTCAACCTAAACTCCTGTTTGTAATGGCAGAGCAGAATTACATTACATTGCATAGATCAGGAATAAGCCTGAGGAGAAACAGAGGATATATGCATCTGTTCTGCCTTTTATATCTATTTTGCCCTCTAATAAAAAAAAAAAACAAAAAACAAAAAACAAACTCTAATAGTTTGAGGCATGATACATTCCAGGGTTGTAATGCACATACTAATTGTGACAACCAAAATGTAATATGGATTATTTTGAAATGTTCTTCCTATGCATGGAATATTTGTTCTTGTGCTGTGCCACTTTCTTGTCACTAGAAGTTAGAATTCCTGAAAGTGATCCTTCAATGAAAAATCAGTTCAAACTAAAAGGACTATACACCTGTCCTTAGGCTAGAGGTTGGACAATCCCTGACATGGGAAATCCAGTCATGGCAGTGATAAACTTATCCACCTCCATTTTTGAACATTTTCCTATTTTTCCTTCTGAGTCAGTGTGAAGTGTTAGCAATGGGAAAGTCTCTTTTTGGGTGGGCTCCATCTGTTTCTGGGTGTGTGTTCACTTCGTTACCACACCCAGAAGATGCAGTCGGGACTGGAAGGCAGTAATGGGAACAGGGAGAGCAGCAAGCACATGCATTGCTACAGGTTTATTCTAAAATTGAGGCAAATTACATGAAAAGGAGTTAAAATCCTGACTATGCAAAAAATATATATATATTTTTTTAATAATTAAGTTCTAATGAATCAAAATATTTCTCTTGGAGCACAGATCCCCTTTCATCCAAACAAATAAGTGTTCTCAGGCAAGCCTAAAAACTTCTTGATATCCATCAGAGAGAGAAAATTTCTTAGCCTTAGGTGTGCTGCACTCTATAGGTACCAAAGCTCCTCAAGGTAACACTGAAAAATACAGAACAGAAAGCACAGCATGGGAGACAGTCATTGCTGTCTGTATCAGAGAGGTGAAACTGGATTCATATTTGTTTGTGGCTCTTCAGATTTGAAAAACACAATAAAAAAGGCACAAAGTTTTAGTGGGTACCTGATACACAAGCACATTAAAGTAATGTTTTTAATCACTCATGTTCATGTGATCAGAACTCAACAAAGAGGACATTAATGTCTGGCTGAGCAGGACAGACCTTTCTAACTGAACCACTGGTTTAACAATTAGAAGCCTGTTTTCTACTTCCAGCTGTGCTACAAATTTTCTTGATGACTCTAGTCAAGTCTCTGGCTAAAGGTTAGGTGTGCAGTTTAAGCCAATCATCTAACTGGTTTCTAATTTGATAGCTGATGGGGAGAGATAGAAACCTCCAGAGTGCATCTCCTCCCTCCAGCAGCTGTTTTGGGAAGGGATAAAAGGGGTATTTCTCTTTGAAGATGCTCATCTCCCTCTTTATTGATCACTGCAAAAGTACTCACAAACTGAGTCTTCAGGCAGCTGATGTTAACTGAGATGACTGAACCATAGGCTGTATCCAGTGAGCTTCTGTAGGTAGCTAGCCCAATTTTACAGTGCGTAAGTAGGAGACATCTGGCCCAGCAGAGTGATCCAGAGCACCGTGCTGATCCCCAAGCTGCCGAGGCAATGCAGAGAGGCAGGTGCCGCTGTTGGCATTCCTGCTTCTCTGTACTGATTGCACTGAGGTCAGCCTTTCTAGGATGAATTGATACTCTGCCTTGAGTGCACCAACAGAAGATGCTACATGGAAGGATGAGTTTGAACAGCCCTGTATATCAGTAATTCTGACAGGGATTCAAGATGCTGAATGCACTTCTTGGGGTGAGCATCCTGTGGAAGGAGGGAGGGCAGTAAGGTAGGAAGGCCAGGCCAGTCGCTTGCAGGGCAGCACACTTGTCTAGGAATAGGAGACACGGTTTTTACATTACCCTCACTTTGAGGTGGTTTGAACCCATAGCTGTCCTTCCCCAAGATGACACCCTACCGCAACACTATCCTGTATAATTCTCTGCATTTCTTCTGCTCTAGTTGGTCCATCATACAGAGTACAAGATTAAGGAACCAGAGAGAAAATTATCAAGGGGAGACAGTGATGAGGGCTATTGACATTTTATATAATGTTTCTTTAGTGTCAGGATTCATTAGCAACCCCGGAAGAGACAAAAAACTCCATACTCCACATGAGTATGTTCAGAAATGGCAGCTTTTGCTTGTTTTGTTTCTGGCACTCTGATTCTCTCAGAGCAGCCCAGCTTCAACAGGCGGGGTGGAGGTCGGGCACATCGGAGCTTGGCTGAGGCTTTGCTAAACTAAGCAGAGCACCCTTCCACGCTGAGGATCCAGGCCTACAATCCAGACTTCCCATTTCCACAGTGAATGATGTTGCAATGAAGCTCTGAGCAGACACAAAGCAAAAGGTGGGACAGCATCTCCAGGTATTTCTTCACTGTCTTTAATGGGACTTACTCTTGTTTGTGTTCGGTGTGGTCCAAGCCTTTTAAAAAAGCTGGGTCCCTCCAGGGACTTAGGTGCAGTGCAGGTGCCTCTCTAGTTATCTCAAAATCTCAGGTGTTTTAGTGCCTACCAGTTCAGGCATGGAGAATTCTGTGTACAAATACACAGGAAACCCTGCGGTCCAAAAGAGTGATGCTAACGAAATTAGCTGTCTTTGTAGTCTAGCAAACCTGGAAAGTAGATAGTCTGAACCTCTTCCATGGACCACTGCCCTTCCTATGGTCTGTTCTGGGTGCCAGAGGGGAATTTTCAACAACAGTCTCTAAAATTTCTGTGCCAGTTTCCCCATCTGCAAAAACATCTACATTAGCCATAATGAGTTCTTCTCACAGTCCCGAGTCAGAAACAAATGGAAATACTGAGATCTTTGGACAGAGCAAGGACAAAATATCTAGTTTGCATCTGTTCTCCATGGTTCCAAAGACAAGGTTATAGGAATATGATTACGTTTTCTGGAAACATGTCAAATTCCTTTTTTTTTTTTTTTTCCTTAGAAATGGAAAATGCTTGCAAGATTTTCTCAGCTGCCAAATCTTTGTTCCTGGAAGAAACAGCTAACTGATAGGGGACCAAAGCTCTGTCAATAGCCAGGGAAATTCCCAGGCACACGTACTTTCAGCGTGATGGAAGGAGGTGACTGGCAAGACCTGTCTTAAGTATTAACTTTATTTCATGCCAGGGACTTGCCCAGCCCCGAGCTCTAGTGAAAAACACTTCACAAGATCACTTTTTGGGTGGAGTATCAGTAATATTTTCATCTGCTGGATATCAAACATTATTTGCAGAGTTGCCAGTGTCCTGGATGTTGAATGACTCACTGGATTTGGGAAGGAGTCCTACAAGCAAATCGGTTACAGAGATATCCTGACGAGGTTTGGTACATTTAAAAAGTGAGTTAGGCACAGAATTCTTCAACTCACATATCTTGCTTCTTCATCTGGTCCTCTCTTTTGTACAAGTTTATTATCATGCATGCTCTTTTTATTGCCCAAGGTTCTGCTGCCTTTGATAAAGATGTTTTTGACCACAGATACACGACAGAATCTCTGGAGTCCAATCACTAGTGAAACTTTCTGAGGAAGGGAATATTTCTTAGCTTGTCCTTTTAAATAGGCAATTCTGTAATTAATGCCAAGCAGTTCCATTCAATATCCCATTTTCCACCCAACTCTCTGCAATCTCCCAGTCCATGGATGACATGACACATACCTTAATATTTTCTTCAGGCCAAGAGTTTAGCATTGTTGCAATATGGCCTTTGTCATGGATGGTGATAAACAACCCCCTAAGAATAGAAAAAAAAGAAGGAAAAGAAGCCTTGTCATAAAATTAGTAACTCCAAGATAAAATAAGTGAAACTTGAAAATGCAGGGAAATGAGCTACTGAGCACAGAACCAGGCTATTCACTGGCATGGAAATGAGACCTCAAGGGACTGCAATAACAAGTTTAGTTCTCATTTCAAAACCCCAAAGGCTCAAGATCTTTAATGGCAACTTCAATCAACAGCCGCTGGTGTTGCACATTTTACCCTTGTGAAACATCTTTGCTTCGGGGAGCAAACTCTGCTTTAGTGCAGAAAAGCTTTCTAGTTAAAATAATTCTGATAAATGCAGGGGAGGCTGATGGTTTTACATTAAACCTTGTTGCACATTCTTTCCCGGGGAGCTTATTGCTGGCAATTCAAACAGTGAAAGCATGATCCTTCTCACCCAGCTGTCAATGTCAGCAATGCGGATGGCTATTGCAGAGCTAGACATCTTAGGTCCCCTCTCTAGTCAACAGAGCTCCAACTGGATTCAATTAGATTAATATTTGCCACGGAATTTGCTTGGACCAAGCCAAACCTGCCCTAACAACCATGCATATCTGACCAAAGTTTTTGATACTTGCATTCATCAAATGAAAAATACCAAAAATTATGAGAAATGAAACAGAAAATTAAATGTTTGGATGAAACCTCGGTATAAAGTATCTGCATGGACAATAGCACACTTGATTGTATTAAGGCTAATCACTTCTCAACACAAAGGTCTTCAAGATGTAAATGAAAATGCATTCTTTTTAATAAAATTAGGAAGTGGAAGACAGCATTCTTGAAAAATGTTTTAGACCCGTGGCTTATTTTTCTCCTCTATGCTGTTATTACCAAAATAGTATCCATGGCAGGGATTTTTCCAATATCCAGAACAGTATTATTCCCATTGACTGATATCTGCTCAAGTATTTGGGGATTTTTTGAAGCTCCTTTTAGGTAGCATTAACCCCAAAGAAACAACTTCCTTCATATCTGTTGCAGGGAAAACTGCTTATGTTGCTCACAGTGCTCTCTGTTTAGCACAAATCAAGGGCTCTAACTCGATGACTCCTCTTGGCAGGTGAAGGCACCCATTTCCCTTGCCTTGTTATCTGCTCACAAAAGCAGGAGTTATAATGGTCATTAGTATCAGCTGGAACAATACAGAAATGCATTTTTCCTCCTTACATCTCTCTACTATTGCTCAGCCCCAGTAAATTCATATCAGCTCACTGTTTGGGGCTCTAATGTGAAATACTAGCTAGAAAAAGTCTAATTTTTAGAGGAGGCTGAAAACAACTTTAATTGTTAAGTCCATATGAATGATGAATAATCAAACATAATTGGGCTACTTTCTACAGTAAGGACTTCTCTCACAAGACTCTTCTAGAGGGCAGATATCTTCCCACAGTTAACGGTGGGAATCTTAATGAAAAAGCCCTTTACTTTGAAAAGAAGGAAAATAAAAATGCTTACTTCAACATTGATCAAGTTGCAATCACACAGAAAGATCAGAAATGAAAAAAAAAAAAAAAAAAAGGAAAGTAATGGTTCATTTATTCAGCATACTTCTTTAAAACTGTGCCCAGTAACCAACAAACTAATCACATCCACATGGCCTGTCTCAAAAGCAGTATTCACAGATGTTAATCTTCATAAAAAAGAGGTACTGTATTGATGCCATCTATGTTTAGAAAATAAGTTATTAACCAGGAATCAAAAGCACAAATTAGTAACATCATTGCAGATAGTTCAAGTTATGACATGCTTTTAAAAAGAATGCTATTGTTTTAACTAATGTTTTCCATATACAATAAAGACACCTATTACTTAAGTGTCTAGCTGCGTGTCTCATACATTCACATCTCTTCAGTGCTGAAGGGCATCCACCAACTATTTGAAACCAACCTTTGAAAGACATCCAGTGCTTGCAGGAACACCTGAAGCCCAACTGATTACCTACCAACAGCCCTGTGGCTTAGATGAATTGCTAGTTGTTTCACACAAAGTGGAGAGGGAAGATACCCCCTGCCTCTGAAGAACTCCTGACTCCGACCGTTCTTTTGGGGAGGCAGTGGGCTTATTTCCAATCCCTGCTCTGGATCTGGCAGTAGAGAGGGTTCACTCTGGATCTTCCAAAATCTGATGATTGCTCTCAATATGTTACTTGGGAAAAGGGCTCTCACAGCTATCACCATGACATGTTTTGCCTGAGGAAGGACTGGCTTGGCTTAGATAGCCAGGTTGGTGGCTAAGAACCAAGCATGAAGAGACACCCCTTTCAGAATTTGCACTCCCTTTCATATTATTATGTTTATTTGATGTTAAGCAAGCCCTCCCATCGAGTATGCTGACTTCTGTGGATCCCTTCCTTAAAACAAATGGCTTCGACACACATTCGTTCTCCCTTCAGGCCATGCCATTGACCAGATCCCTAGTCCTAGCTCCTTATTTCTGCTGTCACATGCATGTAGCAAGTCAGGTGAAAAATCATTCCTTACTTTACTCCAGGCAAAATCAAATGGCTTAATTTAGACTAACAGTTAACACATTAATCACAGTACCATCTTTAGATGGGAAACCTTCAGGTGATCCACCTGGGGAAAGTGACCTCTCTCCCTGATACAAACAACCACATTAGGAAGTGGGCACATATCTAAGCAAGCCTCATACTTCCCTAATGCTGAATCTGAGAGCCAGAGGCCCAGTTTCAACAAAACACAAAAGTTTCCAATGCCTTTAGGCACCCAGGTGGATCACGTTCCTGAACTTGGTCCAGGAACTGTGGACTCCATCAGGCGTTCAGGCATTCAGAAGCGCATCCTGGCAGCGGTGAGCTGGAAGTCCTTATGTAGGCCAAGTACAAACAAGTGTGTTCAGCAAATTCACTGCATTTTTTGGACACAAAGGGAAACAGAAACACATCAGACTTTATAGTCATGGGTCAAAGGTAAGTCCCCATTTTGTATGATCCCCAGAAGAGTCCTGTTCTCCCCCCTGACGACAACAGAGATGAGCTGGCCAACTTCTTGAAATGAGATGCACAATATTGGCAGAAGGTTAATCTTTTCTAAAATCCCTTCTGCAAGACAGGCAGAAGGAACAGACAAGCTCCTCAAACTGAACTCAGGAAAAGGTTTGCTGATGAATGAACAGGGAACAGTAGAAGCCAGGTTTCTTTCAAAGGTACACTGATTATAGGAGAGGTAACAGGAGCAAAAGCTTATTTGTGCCTTTGAGAACAGCAAGGTAGACCTCTGAATACTGTGATGGACAGGTTGGTCTGTGTGGACCAGTAGTAAATAAGAAACATCCAACTGTCAATAAAATTAATTAACTTGATTTTTCTGAGGAAAAGATGCAACCTAAGCAAAAGATTCTGCCTTTATGATCATGCCTTCTCCATCTCTCTTGGGATTACAGTTGATAAATTGCTTCAGAGAAACAAAAAGACAATAAGGCAGTTTTCCTTTAATCTCCTTGGGACTCAATAAAAATGATTCCATTAAAATAAAATGCTAAAAAGGTAAGTTATTTTGATTAAGACATATAACATAGGCACTGTGTGGCACAAACACACAACCTGGTTTTCCAGACCAGAAAACTCACCTGTGCCCAGGAACCTGCAATTCTACATGGGCTTAGTCATTGCAGATCATTATCACCCACAGAGAAGCAGCCATGCACACAGTTAGCTGGAAGCCAAACACACATGTATGGGGTCAAAAATACCAGGAATAGAGCTTAGTAAAAATTAACTGCCCCAGCAATGTCAGGCCAGAATGTACACACTGTATCACTATTTCTGGCTAAATAGTAACCTCCAGAGAGCTGCTACCTTTGTGGGGTAATTCAGAGTGGGCAGTGCTCCCACCTGCATTGGTTAGGATTTCAGAGCTGCAGCCTCCTGTTCAATCCATTAACATACGGGTTTCACTACAGCTGCCATTAGTTAAGGTGGAAGTCAGACTAGATTTTATCGTGCCACTGAGCACATCTGTAAGGTTCCAGGAAACTTCGAGGAGAGTTACAGCTTCTTAATTTGTCACAGGCAGTATTTCTGTCTGGATTTCAGCAAGTCATGTGAAGCTGCCTGAACTGGACTGCAGGATCTAGAAGACTGCAGATCATCATTGCAGAATCCATCAAAGGGGTTGGGTATGTTCACCAACACCATATGGGACCTTTTCTCATCCCTAAGCCAGGGACATTATCTTTTCCTTTCTAGTCTTGTCCTGTCTGAGTTCATGGAAATACTCCAGGAATTATAAAGCTACAGACTGTACAATGTGAGCTATGGGAAGAATCCTAGTATTGGTTAGATCTTGGCCATCCTGATGGCATTTTGAAAACCCCACAATGACAACAATGCCAGAACTGCAAGGCTCATTTTAGAGAGTTCAGGGACAAGGGAGGCAGTGCAGATTTGATGCCCTGTGGAAGCAGTGCCAGATACTAGTAATGGATTTTTTGGATAACGTTCATTTATTTTAAACATTTGGGAAGGAGTAAGTTTTAACATGTCTCAGGAAAAAAAAAAAACAACAGTATTCTTTAATGCTTTCATTCAGTGAGCAGTTACTTCTTCGAAAAGTCAAACTAGTGTTCCTCTTTCTGATCTTCTTGGTTAGCAATCCTGCCTTGTGATCTATTTCCCCTTAGAAGAAACATTGTAAAATAGAGCCAGCAGTGCTATCTCTAAAGCATTATTGTTTATTTACAGAGACTATGCAAAGCTTCATTTCCCAAAACACAGAGGGGAGATTATGCAACTACTTTCCTCACAGCTCCAAATCTCTCCTCGCTTCCCTTCTACCCAAAACTCTCCCTCCCTCTCCCTAATAGCTTTTCCTTGGCAATTACCAGTGCTTTTGTGGCTGTGTTCGCAATCCTCCTGGTATTGTCTTAACTCACTTTTCTAGCCTGCTGCTGCCTGTGACATGCAATCAAACAGAAATCTAGTGCAATCAAATGCCACCAAGCTCCATG